TATTAGTTTTTCCTTGCTGGTGCATAGAGGGGGAACGCCATTTTAACACATATTATTGATTATTTGAGGTGCACTACCGTGGAGCAGTTTTTATAATGCTGTCTTGCTTGCTAGTCTTTACCAGTTTAAATACTTGGGGGTCTAATAGTGAGTTTACCCAACTGGACTTCAGAAAGGAGAAGACGGCAAAACTCTTCGGTCTGACAAGCGTGATAAGGCTATTACTTATGTGCTTTGTCGTGATCTTCACCTCACATTAATGTTTTCTGGTGTTTTACTAAAAGAGCTGTTTAAGCGGGGGGGGGGGGGGGGGGGTGAAGTTTGAAGAATAAATCGTATGTATTAGTTTTTCCTTGCTGGTGCATAGAGGGGGAACGCCATTTTAACACATATTATTGATTATTTGAGGTGCACTACCGTGGAGCAGTTTTTATAATGCTGTCTTGGTTGCTAGTCTTTACCAGTTTAAATACTTGGGGGTCTAATAGTGAGTTTAACCAACTGGACTTCAGAACGGAGAAGACGGCAAAACTCTTCGGTCTGACAAGCGTGATAAGGCTATTACTTCTGTGCTTTGTCGTGATCTTCACCTTACATTAATGTTTTCTGGTGTTTTACTAAAAGAGCTGTTTAAGCGGGGGGGGGGGGGGGGGGTGAAGTTTGACGTAACGTTTTTTTAAAAAAATTAAGGTCACGCTTGTCACTCAAGGTTTGCCGTCTTCTTTCCTTTCCTGTTGCGTAGTTCTCTAATGTGAGTGCCGCTCTCCATTCACACATTCTGGCAGGAGGTCTGAACCAGCTTATGAGAGTTGATCTATAAATTTATTTAAGAAAGAAACAAACTAAACTCTATCCTTTATCCTTTGTATGCCATATCGAAATGAAAATGGTCGTTAACAGCACTGTATTTGATGCCCAGAATTTTGAATTATTGCATTTCCAAGAAAATGGAATTCAAAATCCTCTGCTGAAAAAACGGAATTAATGTCTAAGTCATTTGATTTCAAGTCTCATCGCAAAGTGACACTCGCCTTAGACTTGTAATGTTACTGATTAAAGAGCTTGCCAGAGGTAAACTCACCCTTTCTGTACTTAAAATAGAAACCGAAGATCATTGAGCACCTTCAATCAAAACATGGAGACATGACCACCAGAACAGCAACCTGTGAAGTGAGACAAAGCAAGGAAGAGGTAAACTCATTTTAAAACCTTTAGACTAACGTCCTTCAACAAGGGGTTCCAAACGGTTGCTGATCCGTTGTGGATGATTGAACAATGCTCCTATTTTTGTTGTTAGAAAGTTTCTGAAAAGTTTGTGAGTTAATTTGTTTCGTTTCCTTAACTTATTACCTGCCAAATGCATCTATTTTAGTCAAGTACGGTACGACTTTCAAGGTTTTGCTGTCTTCAAATAATTGAAACGTCTCATAGCGGAAAAGTGATCGCAAGAGGTTGAATAACATAAGTGACAGGAGCCTGCAAGTAATAATTATAAGTCACTGAAGAACAAATACATCGACGTTTTGTCGCATTTTGTTATATTTTCATAGATACTTGCGAATTATAAATTTAATCTGTTTTCAGGAGGCGGAAAAAGCAGAAATAAAAGATGGCATAACAATTACAATGGATAAAAAGAAGGCTAAGCGGAAGAAAAAAAGAAAGAGAAAAACTGATGATCACAACGACTCAGAAGAAGAAAAGGCAAGCTGAAAAATGACAATTTTTTTCTAAGGATTAGTTTTTTGTTATTTTATGATCGACATGAAAATCAACACGGGCAACTGAAAGTGCGCAAAAATTGTTTTCACCTTCATTGCACTACATGCTTTAGATGTAACCAAAAGATATGGATCAATGACTTACATGTATCATCACATGTATCCCTCCCCCCCACCCCCCCACCCGGCGATGGGGTGGAGGGAGCTGGCTCACTTCAGATAAAATAAGTAAAGATGAACCGCTCCTCAAAGGCCATCTTGGGGAAAGAAGAAAGTAGCCGTTGTAGAGAGGTTTAAACAAGAGTCAATGTATGGACTGTCCACCAAAAAAAGTGCCCGTTGTAAAGAGGTCGGCCGTTAGTGGAGTTTTGTGTGCACTGATGAAATACGGGTTTTTTTCCTGAAGGCATTGTACTGATAATTTATTTCAGGAAGCCACCGCTGAACATCAAGGCAAACTTGCAAAGGAATATCCTTTGACAGTTAGTCTTCCTAAAGACTGTAACGACAATCGAGATGAAAAGGAGATCAACAGGACAAGTAAGCTGATGAGCGGATTTAGGGGTTGGCCGAGGGAACCGAGGCTATCCCTTTTTCTGTGCAATTTCGTATTCTTAAAAATATAATTCTCAGTAACATAAATAGTATCTATATTGCTGCCAGGTGTCCAGGTCACCCCTTTCTGAATTTTGTGGATCCACCCCTGTCAGAACTAAGGCTAACCTTAACAAGTACTGCCAGGCGGAACCTCGGTATAACATACTTGATAATACAAAGTCCTCGGTGACCAGTGATTTTCTTCGCTCCAGTTATAGTAAAATATATATGCCTAGATATAAAGAAACCGTGCTATATAAGTTATAGCTAAAACATGTTTTTCCAGTCTAGAAAGCTTAAGCGGCTGATAAGACTACTTCTAATTTCAAGGAAATTAAAGGACTGAAAAAGATTAAACATGTACCAGGAAAGTTTAATTTAATCAAAATTAAATTAAATGGAATAAAACCGAGAAAATGTCTTATTTATTTATTTATTTATTTATTTATTTCTTATAGAAGGAGAATATGGAACCGACAGTAACTTTGAGAGTGAATGGTCTGATAGCCAAAGTGAAATGGAAGGTTATTGGTCTGATGACCTTCTTTCCGATAACAAGCCAAGATCATCTTTATGGGGTAAGCGAATACATCACAAAAATTGCTTTTCTGACGACTTATTTTCAGTAACAATAAACTGAATACATGTACTTTTATTAATTTAGCATAAACAAGAAGGTTAATAGCATAATTCACTTTTTTTTTTCAGAACAAATAGTATATCAGATATCGTTGTTGGCATTGTAAGAGGCATTTGCAACTGAATCGTTTATTAACTCATTTGAGGGCCACAAGTTCAGAAGTTTACCACATTTACAGTCACCTGTTACCTTCTTTAGTCATTCTGACCAATTAGCAAAAAGAATACCCCGCACTTTAAAATCATTATATCTCATTGTTCATAGTTTCAAATGAAACTTTGTTAAACACTTAAAATAAGCGAAAAACGTTTGACACAACGTTTCGATGTCGCCATGACATATCAAGTGACAAAGACTGTAAAAACTAAAAACTGACCTATTATATACGGTTTAAAGTGAGAAAATAGAGAAGGTATTTTCGTTTACAGGTGCAAACTTGTTACTTTTGTTCTTTATTTTGTCTTTTTAAACCGTATAAATTAGATGAGTTTTTAGTTTTTGGCTTTGTTACTTGATATGTCATGGCGACATCGGAACGTTGTGTTAAACTTTTTTCGCTTATCTTTAGTCTAAAGTATTCATAGTTTGTGACAGAAAAGGTTGCCTTAGGTGGTAATTTCTTGCTTCTTTTGTTGTTAGAACAAGAAGAAAACTACGACTCCAGCTCGTCATACAGTGCAGAAGAAGAAAGTGAACTTTCTGATGACATTTCAACAATTACTATCGTAGAGCCCATGTTGCTCGTTCCTCAACGTAGGCCTATATCAGATGAAAGAGTAAGTAACCATTTAAATGAGTACTTATTTGTTCGAAAGGTGGATAGTGCTATCCATTTTATAAATATCTTTTAAGTGGATAATGCAACTGGTTTTCCTCATACTTATGATGTTCTTATTAAATTTGTCATTGATTTGACTGCCCTTGTGTTTTACTGCCTAGTAAATACGTGATATTTTGCTCTCATGCTCAGTTTTGAATTTGTATCTTGCTCCCCTGAATTTGAACCCATCACCTTCATTTGGATGTCTATGTCCCTTTTTGTTATTGTTCTGGATGGATAAGAGTAATGGACCGAAATAAGATTTCAGCCAAAAAAAATATCATAGAGGCTGATTACATAAGCCAGGCTGAACCAGTTTGTTGGGCAAATCAACTTTGCGATTAAATGACAACCGAGCCATCCCATCTAGCTGGGTTCCTAGTATTATGGAAATTTTCCACGTAATCACGCTGGCCGGGCTATCCGACAAACCACGTAGCAACGGGACAGCGGGTAACAAAGTGCTGTGCACTACTTCCAGTCTCTTTGTACACATAACTGTTCCAGGTTGGCTCGCCTCCACGGTAATGCTTTGATTAAAGTCACCACAATGAAGCCAGGTTGCCCATTATTCCGGGCAGGCCGGGCTCATGTAATCAGGCCTTAATTCATCTTGCAAAATACTCCACAAGCGCCTGATAAAGCCAGATTCTTATTTTAGGGCCTTAGTATTGCAAGTCTGTTACGCTGATCACTCGACCAAGCTGCCTCCATCCTTCTCGAATTTTCGGCTCCCTGATAGTTAGTGTCACTGTTTTCTAGTCTCTTGCATTGTTTACCGGAAAAATCTTCGATGGAGGCTGCTGAAGGCTTGCCCCTGGTAAAAACAAGATAAAGTAACGGTACTAAAAGAAAGCGAGATAAACAGCCTTGAGGACCTAAAGGAACGAAATTCCCCCCTTTTCCCTCAAGTAAGTGAGCCACTGCCTGATGAGCGATAGCGAGCCCTCTAAGATGCTAATTTTAATGACAGAGCAGGCTGTACCTTATCTGAATGTGGTCATCGAAAAGTCGTTCCAATTAATTTCAAACAAATGTATGTTTGAAAATTGATCAATCAAAATCACAACATAAAAAAGGAAGGCGCAATAGCATTAATTTTTTTAAAAAATTAATGCTATCTTTAAAAGAATTAACCCTAATGATAATAATGTGTTTCTAGGGTGAATTTTGCTTTATACTCGACGATCTCTTGTTGGACATATTTAAAGACTCCGGTGAGATGGTCTTAGAGCTTTCATTTTTGGAGGATTCAGTTTTGAGCAGAACTGGGTGCAGTTTTATTACTTTACACAACAAGATTTTGTGTCAGGAAATGGATTTCGAATCCCTAGGCATCGAAGATTTCATTGAAAATGACTCCCGAATTTTTTGGTTGTATGATTCTCGGGTGGTCGTCGGATTAGATGTCTATCCTTGGCAACAAGTAGATAACGTGAAGGACGGAAATATCGTCACCCTTGATCTTTCCAACCGTTGTATTACATCTTGTAGCCCTCTAGTCGAGACATGTCAGCAATGGCGAAACGCTACTTCTGCAGTCATGAGGGGGAGTACCATAAATTCAGAGAGTTGGCCTTTTGCAGTCTTGGACATTCTTTGCTGGTTTTGTCCGTTTCTTCGCCAGATCGACATAACAGGATGTACAGGCTTCTCAAAGAGTTATCTCACGAGTAAGAGTTGCCAACGCAGAATTGAAATAATTGATTATTTGGATCCTTCGTTTATGGCCAGATGTCCAGATAGTGGCGAAGCGATTAGAGAAATGTTGGCGGAAAGAGCAATTTCACCATGCACAAGTTGTGAAGGTTGGTCCCTTTTGCACAGTGCTATATTTCTTGGCGACACGCAGCTGGTAAAACAGTTGCTTCAATGTATTCGCTATGAGAATAACAACACAGAGGATGACTTATTACTCCAAACGGCGCTAGAGTTAGCAACTTCTCTGCATAATCTGGAGATAATAATGTTGTTAAGAAGTATAAATGTCGTTTACGAGGATCCTTCCATGCTAGTTCAACATTGCTTTCTGAACCGACTTTGCTTTGAAAATTTTGACCATCCTGTGATAAAAGCCGTGGTTTCTAGTGAAACAGCACTGCAGGGGGCGAAAAACGTACACGACTCGCAGCAATGTAATGTGTCTTCCGTACTGCTTGCATTGTGTGAAGACGGTAGTGTGAACTTTAAAAGAAAAGTTTTTGAAGAAATTCTTCGAAAAGTACACTCCTGCCTTAAGACAGATTGTTGTTTGCTATTTTCTTGCGTGGATGAGAAAGCAATTCGAGAATTTTTGCAAATTTTGATGGAAGAATCCGAGGGCTTTAGTAATATAAGAATTGACGACTTTCCCTGCCTCATGTACTCATTGCCAAGTCTTTATTTGATTGAGCTTTTACTCAGTGAGGGAGCAAACATTGACGACAGAGACAATTTAGGGTGTACCGCTCTTTTTCACGCTGTGGAAAAGGCGTCAGTCACCCTCACGCCTCATTGTTTTTTATCAAGTTTTTGCTCGACAAGCAGGCAAATCCACATGTGAGAAATAACCTGGGAGATTCTCCCCTTTTGTACAGTTTAACGCGATGCTCTCCTCCTTCTTGTAAACTGTGCCCCAAAATGATGACACATGAATCTGTCAACTTGAGGTTTGATGCGCCTTTCTTTATAGATCGAATAGTAGAGGTCTGGAGCCTTCTTTTGAATGCCAGAGCGAGAGGCAACGTAAAGGACGAAATGGACAGATCTCTGTTGCATTTGCTAATGACATTCTTGGAGACCGGAATTATTCCCCCTCCTATATGCCGTGAGTTGATTTGCACTGGCCTAACGCTCTTGCAGGATGGGGGTCTTGAAGTCAACGCCAGAGATGCCGAAGGGAACACCCCGTTACACTGCTGGGCAAACCTATCAAATGAAATAAATAGTGATGACTTGATTCAAATCGGAAATAAACTAGTTCTTCATGGTGGCGCTGTTAATGCAAGAAATGACAAAGGCGAAACTCCACTTCATTTTTCAAAGAGTTGGGAGCAAGTGGATTTCTTCATCCAGAAAGGTGCAGAGGCGGACGCACAAGATCTTTATGGAAACAATCCTTTTCTCAACTTCATTGAGAGAGGTTCATTAATTACACATCATGTCGAGGAAGACCGATGGAGAAGATGTCTTGCATCCGGAATGAATCCTTTTAGTACAAACTATGACGGCAGGTGCTTTTTTGATGTTTTGTTAGAAAAACAGTTTTTCAAGAGCGCACTGAATCTATTGAAGGTGATATTCGAAAGCGACGTAAATGAACATTTAAGAAAAACTGCCCGGGATCATCGAAATCGGAGTGGAAACTCGTTACTTCACATTGCTTGTGTTGTAGAGAACACAAATGCTTCACTGATCTGTGATTATTTGCTGCGAAATGGATGGATCGCTAACTTAAAAAACACGTACGACCAAACACCGTTGCTTTTGGCATGCAAAAATGTGAAAAGCCTTAATTCTGTGCTTTCAAAAAACATCCTTTTACTCCGACGGTACCATGCTGACAAAAGCATTCCAGATTGTCAGGGAAGCACATGTGAAGCTTTGCTCCGCCGGGATCTCTGCGTCCTGTTATATCAAGAAGTTACGAGAGTTAGCCTTTCCAACCAGTTAAAATGGATTCAGCAATCTGTCAACCATCACTGTGCGCTAGCAGAAGTTGCACTTGGTTCAAAAGCTCGAAAAGTCGATAACTTCTACCACCACGAGAATTGCATAGGAGCAGGCTCTTTTGGATTGGTATTTCCCGGTCTGAATGAAAAAGATGGCAGAGAGGTAGCCATAAAACGACTAGAAAAGGCAAGACTGGAGCAAAGAGGAACCGTGCTTGAAAGAGAGATTAAATGCTTGCAGGAACTCTCTGATTGCTCTTTTGTACTCAATTACATCTCATGTGCCAGCGATGAAAATTTTCAGTACCTAGTAGTTGAGCTCATGGAGGGCTCTTTGGATGATTACCTCCCAAATAATGAAGTATGCGAAGAGGCTTTCACGATTTGTTTGAACATTGGTAATGGTTTAGAGTTTCTACACAATAGAAATGTTCTTCACAGGGATCTAAAACCTCAAAACATTTTGTACAAAACGCAGCCAGAGTTTGTTGTTAAAATAAGCGATTTTGGAATCAGTAAAATATTGCACGGCGTACAAAGTGGTGCTCTAAGTGAGACGGTCTTGAATTCAAGGGTAGGTACAAGATGCTGGATGGCTCCTGAACTCCTAACCAAGAAGTCAAAAGATCACAGCGAAGCATCAGACATTTTCAGCTGTGGTCTCATTTTTCATTATGTCCTTGCGATGAAGAAACATCCTTTTGGATCGTATTCTGATGAATCATTGGCAGAAATCAATCCTCAAGAAACTGAAAGAAACATAACCAGTAATCAACAAAGTTTCTGTGAATCTCTCGCACCGGAGGCTAACAATCTTCTAACGCACATGCTTCTGCCTAAACCAAAACGACGGCCGTCTGCCTCTTCCCTGCAGAATTTTCCTTTCTTCTGGGATAATCGTAAGAAAGTCGAATTTCTCACGATTGTTGGAAATCAGAAGGAATTCGAGGAACCCAGAGCAATTCTGTCTCGCCCTTTATCCGTGGTGGAACAGAACTTAGAAAAACTTTACCTAGAGTGCTTAGAAGGAGCCTCTGAAGATTGGGAGACTGCCATACAGGATGTTTATGACGAAGTGACAGGAATGTATAAATATCGAAACTACAAAACCATATCGGCTGTTGAACTTGTTAGGTTTATCAGAAATTCTTATATCCATTCACATGATCTTTCTCCTGAAGTCAAGGATCTCTTGTGGGAAGATTTTGTTTTTCTCAAGCGCTTTCCTTTCTTGGTGACAGTAGTTTATAGAGCAGTTAAAGCGTGTAGTAGCTGGAGAGCGAGAAATCAATTGAAAAACTTTTTCTAATAACCTGACTCGTAAGGTGATTCAACTTGAAATGGGTGGCCGAATTTAGAACGTAAAAGGCGAAGAGAAGGTTAAACTAAAAAATGAGGTAAAACTCCTGTGCAGAAAGCATTGTTTGGTAATGGCCGCAGATGCTCCCAGTACATTTATCTTGATCAATTTACAACAAGTTAAAGCAAGATACTTCGAATACCCATCAGATTATGTATATATCCCCAGCTCTTCGAAAGTCATCTATTCTATCACAACTGACGAACTTATTGTCAAGTTATAGGACGCTTTTGTAGGACATCCGACCTGAAGAAAGTTGAGCACCTTCAGGAAAGACAGAGTACTACGCACAGTCAAAGCACTCGTAAACGAGCACCGAGGAATGTATAAAAAATGGTCGCAACGAGAGCTGATCGACCACGAGACTATGAGATGCTGACTTACCGAGAGCGGACGCTCACGGGAGTTTTTAGCAAAAAGCTTAGCATAACTACCAATACATTTAAGTGAAAAAATTACCAATAGAGTCTTTTTATCACTTTTTACACGCGACGTTAACGAACCGCAGCCCTTGAATATTACATTCCTACGGCGCGACTACTCGAACTGTGGCACTTAAAACGGTTACACTGAAGCATTCAAAATAGCTCATGCACGTTAAACGTGCCTATGTTACTTTCTGGAGATTGGTTGAACGGCTTTAGGTTCTTATTACCCCATGGACATACCTCGGAAACTGTCATGGGTAATTCTTTTGTTCTTTTTGACATATCCATGGAAATTTCCCCGGGGTGATTTCACCTTGTGAAAATTGGTCACACAAAAAGTTGCTTCCCCTTGAGCAAGAGCCTTCTACCTAACGGTAAAATGACTGGTGTATCCGCACCTAATTTTAGATGCCCAGATCACAATTTTTTAACCTCATCAACACAGATTTGTCATTTGTACCTTTTTAACATTCTACTTTTATCTTAATCATGATGTAATGCTTTTATAGAGTCCTTAATTAGCATAAATTTTGAGCTAAATACAGGTTTCACATAAATAATTAATTAAGTACTTCATTCTTTCCTTCATTCATTTATTCGAAATAAAGAAAGATAGTAGATTTCAAGCTCGCGATAATCAACATATCAGGATCTTGAGACAATGCAAAAATTCCTGATTAAATTCCCGAAAACTTGCCGTGCGCTCTATCCTGTGAAGATCACTGAGATTGAAGAGAATCATGGAGAGCAAGGCCGTACACTGGGTTTAAATTTGACAGGTCCCTGTATAAATTCAAGAATGTAGATAGTGCACCTACTATTTGAAATTAAGAATAGTGATGAATTTTAAGCTCAGTGAATGAGTTTTTGCCAGAACAACGCCATAAAGTAGGTTTACATTTGACACACGTCGCTGAATCTGTTGGGACCAGCAATTTAGAGAGAGCACTGTATGAAATAAAGAAATGTGTCCCGGTTAATGAATGTGAAGGATGTGTTAATTAGTCTGTCACTGTAATACTACTTTTTCCATCTCATACAGCCAATTAACCCAAAGAGACTGCTGATATTTCCCAGTTATGAAATTTTATTGTTTTTAAAAAGTCTTGCGCACTTGTCCCTTGTAATCAATTGACTGATTTTTCTTCTTAAAACGTGCGCTATTGTACAACAGATATCGCTACGCTAATGTATTCGGTGTGGTGGTGTGGTTAAATTTTGATTCTTGGGTCAAATTTTGTTTTTCTTTCATACTTGTGCATGGTGATGGACGATAATGAAGATAAAACAAAAAATGATTAAATAATACAAATTGGACTGAGGACAAAATCAACCATAACATTTACAAGGGTCACTTGGTACGGGTTGGGTTAAAGTGTCCAAAGCTGCCTTAAATATCGCATAATGTAAAGCGATTAAATTTAACGACGTTTGATAGTAGATAGAAGGAATTCTAGCACCTCCATTTAGCACTTCCTATTTAACGAGGCTAAAAAGACCAGAGATGCTGAAAGTTTTTTTAGTACACCATGCAAAATTCTTCCATCGCCACAATGAAATTCTGCGTCATCATTGCTTTTTCGCCTGAATGCCTCTGATCTGGATTTTGGAAATTCTCTTTCCTGTAACAACTTTCAGTACGTCGGCTAACTACCTTCCATTTATCGCCGCAAATATTAACGTACACCTACGCTTCCATGCGTAACATGCGGCTCAATGAGAAGAAATGTAAAGATATGGTTATCAATTTTTTGAAGTACCAACCCACTGTTATAACGCCGATTCAGCTTAATGGTATAGTCATTGATAGAGTATCTAGTTATAAACTCTTAGGGGTTATTATCTCTAATGACCTCTCTTGGAACGAACACTGTGACAGTATCCATAAAAAAGCTACAAAGCGATTGTTTGTGCTGCGGACCCTCAAGAGAGTTGGACTGGGCACTAACGATCTCGTGTTAGTCTACTGTAGTATTGTTAGATCCATTGTTGAGTACGCCTCGCCAGTTTGGGCTGCGATCCCTTTATATCTTGATGAGTTAATTGAGTCTGTACAGCGGAAAGCGCTCAAAATAATATTTGGCCGGGTAGACTATGCGGAAGCCTTGATCTTGGCCGGCCTGGAGTCTCTTAGTGACAGGAGAGAAGGAGCTTGTAAGCGGTTTATGGCTACTGCACGCCAAATGTCCCCCCTTAAGAACATCATCCCCTGTCCTGCCGCTTTTGAGTCTCACTACAGTATGAGGGTCCAACTTCCTAGACGTCAACATGGTCATACCAGAAGAATTAATGACTTTGTAACTTATAAATTTCAGTGAATGTATGTAAATGGTTAATTGTATGTGACAATGACCTTCCCCAACAATTCAGTTATTGCTGCAAGTGGGTGAAATAAACAGAATATCTATCTATCTATCTATCTATCTATCTATTATGCATGGATTCGCTCTTTGTGACTTTTCAGCCCGTCTTATCACCTAAATCTCTTACCGCATTGGTTGCATGTATAAGAGTAGTATAGTAGGAAACTGATTGGTCAACTAGCCATCTATCATTTACCCATGCACGTCTACGAAAAATTAGCGCTCTAGAACCGGCAAATTGACCAAATCGCCTCTTTTGTGAGATTAAAAGTGCACCAATAAAATATACATTTTAGATTTTAAAGGAAGGTGAATAGGAAATTTTACAATTGACCTCAAGACGAAGAATGGCTGATGCAATGAAAGAAAAATTCCAGGAGGCAAGTTTTTGAAAAGCATAATTTGTTTACGCGCGGGCAAATGACAGCAAGTCAACTCGTTAATGCCGATGACTGACCGAACCTCAGGCAAATGGAAATGTTTTCTGTTTTTGTTATGTTATTAACGAAATGGTAAACGTTGTAGCTCAGGGTAGCCATCGAATTTATGGATGCAGTTTGCTAAGCACTCAAGAAGCTGGGGTTGCTCTTACGCTTCTTTCCTGCTTAGCAGCCTCCCGCGTGCATCCATAACTCGATGGTTGACGCTGCTAGTTTGACATGACTTAATTGTATTTATCTCGTAACTTAAATGCGGGGGATTCTCATTGTTAGGTCGATGACTGTCTTGGTTTCTGATTGGTTAACTAAAAACTAAAGTATTCAATGGGTGGTTTATGATGTCGGAGAAATAAGCGCTAACTTGCGTATGACTTAAAATCACAGAGCCGTATTACAATTATGCTGTTTTCTGCTCCTTTCACTTTCCAACAAATTGTAACAGATCCGGTCACTAATTCTTGGCGCGCAAGTTAATTAGATTCCTCCGTGAAAAGGTCAACTCGGTCCCTGCTATATTACCCTCGTGGTTTCTCATTTCCGAGTATTCTTTCATGACATTGCTTTACATTGATTGCATACATAAGGCTTCAATCAGGTGCGTCTTTTGTCTTTTGTGTCGTGGTCCTTTTTGCACTGGGTTCATTTAAAAAACTTCTCCATTACTTGTGGCTCTAATTGGAATGGCAATCACTTAACTTCTTGTTCATACATCACAAGACATTTCTGAGGGGGTAGCTATTTTCATGTTTATCACATACAGATCATAGTTCCATTCCTAATACAAGGCAAATACAGCAGAGTTTCCTTTCGAGTGATGTCACCCTACTTGATTTTATCTCCTTGGTCACTTATACGGTAACTTCAACGATAGAGATAGTAAAATGTTTGGCGCAACAATGACCACTGAACCCATTTTCCTGTGCTGGAGCTAAATTTTCTTTTGCAATTTTTACTGAGAGAACTGAACTAGCTTTGAAATTCATTTTCTGATGCATGAAAATTCATATCGTGAGTTCAAAAAAAGTGGGCTTAGGATGTGATTCAGTTCAATAGTGGCTTAAGGTGATTCCATAGTAAAAGAACCTAACATGGATTTTAGCTAAAACTTGGTACACTGATGTAACAAGTCAAGAGGATGATAAAAAAGTAATAAAAAGTGGGGGTCACCGTGCTCGTTTTGACGTCACAATGCTGACAAATACGGCTATTTGGGACCCTTTTGCAAAAACCGCGGGCAGCGCAAAACTAGACAAAAAGGAGTGATTTTTTCGATGATGCATGTGATATCACACAGAATTTGACTTTAATGTATTGTTTATCCACTTACGTACCAGAAAAATGCCTTTTAATGCCCTTTTTTTTACTTTACGCTCCAAAGTAGAATCAAATTGGACGCGCGCTTTTCGACCCGTGATGGCTCAATCCGTACAATTTAGTAAAATTGCCAAAAAACTGAACATAGATTTGTGCCAATTTTTTTCTCATCGAAAGGAGGCACTATCCTTATTAAAATCATGAAATAAAAAATGGGGGTCACCGTACTCGTTTTTGCGGTAGAGCTGCAGAAAGTGCGCACCAAACGCATTTTCTCCGATTTTTGAGAGAGGACTGGGGCGAGTTTCAAAATAGAATGTATGTGAAAGGGGGAAGAAAGTATTAAAAAATCCGTTTTTACAGAATTTACATCGAGATATCACATTTAGGACACAATGTGATAA